GGGAGAGACAGAAGCCAGCAGGCAGGCGGGGAAGGACTGGGCTCGCCGCCGCCGCCTCCTCCTCATAGGAGCAGGCAGGCAGGGGGGGCAGGCGGGCGGGGGGGAGACCGGCCTCCTCGCCGCCGCTGAGCCCGGCAAGGGGGGGGAGGACCAGCCTCTCTGCCGCCGTCTCCGCCTCGGAGCCAGGCGGGCGGGGGGAGAACCGGCCTCGCCGCCGCTGCCGCCTCCTCGGGACATCAACCGGGGGGGTAGGAGACGGAGCTCTTCTCCCCCCCGCGAGTATCTCGGGTCCCCGTCTTGTACTGTTCTATTTCCTAAGTTTTATAATCTTTAATTACTATCATTTAAAACAATATCTATTTCTTCTTGGAGGTTGTCACCTCACTTTGGGGCTTCGGAAAGCTCCAAAGGGGGTCTTTCCCTGAGACCCCACCCTGTGGGAGGTAGTGGGGGAGTTCCTCCCGAATGCCTTGCTTGCCCTGCTCCGATCATATACATTTTAATCTTACTGAGATTTTACTCATGATAAAGTAGTCCCAAAGTCAGGACTTGCCATTGCTCTATCATGGGTATTTTCTCATCTTTCCACATAGCTGCCAATGTAATTCTGGCTATAGTTAGCAATATTGATATTAATTTCATTTTACTTTTATCCTGTAAAGGTTGCTTCCAGAAATAAAGTAGAAACAGTTCTGGTACTAAAGGTAAGTCATAATTTGTTATTTGTTAAATTTGTTGAACAATATCTTTCCAGTACAATTCTATTAATTCACAGATCTACCAATAGTGGATAAAGTCTGCCTGGTGACCACAATTCTTGTAACAATTTGGATTATAATTTTTGTTTATTTTATGTAACTGATTTGTCATAAAATACCATATTGTTTGCATTTTAAATAACTGAAATTTTATATTAAAAACAGATGAGTGAGAGCTGGGAGAATTCCAAATCTGCCCCCAGTCATCCTCTTCTAAATTATTTTGACAGTCTATTATCCATCGAGACTGATAATTTGTAATCAGTTTACGCTCTGTCTGAACCATAATCTGACGTATCTCTGAAACAGCCGGAAGAAGGGAACTCCAAAGACCAGCACCAGAAAAGGACGCCGCCGACTACCGCCCGCAAGAACAGGACAACAACCGAAGATACGCCACAAAAAGGGTGCCTGGTAGGGTAGTCACCACGCCTATATATCTGTGGCCCTAGGTTAGATTCTGTAAATGTGATTAGCACTCTCTGTAAGCCGCCCAGAGACCCTTAGCGGTTAGGGCGGGATAACAAATCGAATAAATAAATAAATAAATAAATATTGGAACTCGCCCGTTATGCTGCAGTTGCCTTGGAGGCCGGTGGAATAAGGAGATCAGGAAGGCCCCGCTGCCAACCCCCCCTTCCCTCCCTTAGCATCACAGGCCACCCGGCATGAGAGCTGCGGCTGCTGCCATCTTCCCCAAGCCCGGCCACCTCCTCCTCCTCTTGGTGTCCTGGCTCTTTAATCCAGCAAGACGTGCAATAACAGGCCTTGACAGTGGAAATATAATGTAAGAGATTAATGACTTCAGCACTAGAGGAGCTTTGGGAAGTCCCTACAGCATCCAGCTACGAGGGTCATCACCAGCCATGTGTCTCTTGATTATTTCTTATCCCCAGTGCTCCCTCACCCAACCCCTTTACAGTGCCCAGTCCTGTCTCTGCTTCCCCAGAGTGAAGCCTGCAGCCTTGGGTGGGCCCTTCCCCCCTCAAGTCCAACCTGAGTCCTAGGAAGCCTCTTCTGGAGCGCTGACACTCCCATCAGCTTGGCTTCCCTGTCGGCTGTTCTGAGTGATCCAAATACAAAAGAAAAAGCAAGTTCGTTTTGACTGGCTTCATCTGATGGTTTGATATCAACGAACTTGTATTCCAGAAAACTTCGCCAACCTGCGTTTTTTTGGACCTCCCTTCCTTCTTCTTTGTAGCATTGTAATTTATACATGGTTTGATATCAGCTCTATAAAGCTTTTTTTCCATGTTTTTTGAGCATTGATTCTGTATAGCGCTTGCACACAGCTTGCTCTTTCTTTTGTATTTGAATCTTTGGAGCTGTGATTCTCTTATCGTAGGCTGTTTGAGTGAGACACACCCCTCCTGGCTGCTTCACCATCTGTCCTCTGATGCTGCAGAGAGGCCCTTCCCCAGCATCGCTGTTGTTATCTGCCATCTCGGTCCCTCTCTGGCCTCTGCTGGTGTCTCTTCCTCCAAGGTTGTTTCTCTCCCCTCTCCTCTTTCTCTTTCATCCTGATGTAAATCATCCTGATGTAAAGCTTGAAGGACGGACCTGTGGGGGTAGTGATGAAAACTGGATCTTGTACCCACACTCCACAATTGAGAGGACCCAAGAATCTTGAGTGGTCCTTTCCCAATGTGGGGCAAAATTTTGCAGTCTCCCTCCAATCCTGGCATCATGCAGCTGGCTTTTTCCCTTGACTGTTGTAGTCCTTCTTGGACCCAGAGAACTGCTTCCTCTGAAATCTCAACTGGGAGGAGGAGAAGCGGCCACCTCTATTCTCCCTGTAATCTTTGCATCTGAATGGAGGCTTGTAAGGGCGAAAGGACTGGAAGGCTTAAAGTCCTTCTTTTTTGTTATCTTCTCTTTGGTCTCCACTAACATCTTCTCCAAAGGACCCACACTAAATAGAAGCCGTCCCGAGAACCTTTCCGAGAACTGGCTTGATTTTGACAGTGAGTCCACTTTCCACTGCTTGAGCGATACATTCCTTCTCACCACCACATTAGGTGCCTGAGATCTCGTGGAATATTGTGATCGGTGGCTGATGGCCTGAGCACAGAGCCTCCAGGGAACGTCGGATCGTGATACCGCACTTCATTTTGCCGGAATATTGTGATCGGCGGCTGATGGCCTGAGCACAGAGCCTCCAGGGAACGTCGGATCGTGATACCACACTTCATTTTGCTCCGGAGCAAAAAGCCTCACTTCCCCGCTCGTGTGACCAGGGCCAGTGTTTGCTATTAAAATAATTATCTTTCAAAATAAGCACTTATCATATAATAAAAAACCTTATAATCTCCAGAGTACTACAGAAGCATCTGTGCAGGTCGCTACCCCAGAAGTCTTGATGGCTACCCATCTTGATCACACCTTGATCACACCAGGCATATAAAACAAGTTGTTAAACAGAAGGGTATTTTGGAAAAGTTTTTTTTTAATATGCTTTCCAGGCTTTGAGTTAGATTAAATGCTACTTGAACACTTATTTGTCCCCCCCACACAAACACACATAGCATCTTCTGGAAAGGGAATTTTCTCTTTTTGAAGCCTCAGGAAGAGAGTGATTCAGCTATATTTGAGCAAACAAGAAAGAAGTGTACACAAACAAGCAGTAATTCTACAAGGGCAACTATCTGCAGTCCACAGATATAGTACTGTATTAAGGAGAACTGGGCTAACTTCTGTAAGGTTCTGCTGATGGAAATTATCTTTCAATCACAAGCCTGAAGCATGAAGTTTAGACAGAAAATAAACCTACAAAATAAACACATACAAAGCTGCCTTATACTGAACCAGACCACTGGTATCAAGATCAGTGCTGTCTACTCAGACCGGTGGCAGCTCTCCGGGTTCTCAGGCAGAGATATTTCACAACACCTACTGCCTGATCCTTCTAACTGGAGACAGCGGGGATTGAACCTGGAACCTTCTGCATGCCAAGCAGAGGCTCTTCCACTGAGCCAATAATGACCACCATTTTAACACAATTGACAGTGCCCAAAACAGTAAATAATATTAAATAACCATTTAATCAATCAAATCAAAAGGATAAATAATAATTTAATCAATCAAATCAAAAGAATACTTTTGAAACATATGCAGTTACTGTAAACCAGCAAAACTTACCTTAAGATTTGCATTTTGCTTGTCTTTATTTTTTCTTAGCAATTCTGATTGTACAGCCACATATTTTTCAATTTCTTCTAATGCCTGTTGAACTTTATTTTCTTTCTTCTCATTCTCCTTTTTCCTTTTTTCTAGTTCTGAATACAGGGATTTAATTCTTTTCTGTTCATAATATTAACAAAATAATATATTCAAAATCAGTTATCAAAATCAGTCTCTAACAGAAAATCAAATAAGGTCATCCAAGAATATATATATACTTTACTTCAGTGGCAGCTTAATTTTTATACATTAAAGCAAAATAAATTCCCAGTTCTATGTGTTTTTTCTTTAATTTTGTTTTAATACTGTAATTACAAAACAGATGTATTTTCTAACCCATGTTTCCTAAGGTCAGATCAGAGCCTCTCCTCTTTCCTTCTCTCCCACCTACCTTTTTTGTTTCTCCTACAGCACTCTGCCTCCCTCCCTTACTACCTTTTTCTGTTCCCTTCCCTGAACTTCAGTTTTCTTTATCCCTTCCCCCCCTTCAGCTATACCTTCCCTTCCACCCATCTTTTTAGTCTGTCTCTTGCCTCCTTTGCATTAACACCAGCAAAGGTTCGGAATCCTCAGAATTGTTGACTGGAGTGGCCACCAAGATCTCCAACCCTCACAATGTGATCTCACAAGCTCTCAGTGGTATTCTTTTGTTAACCCTTTTGTTGTTGTTGTTCAGTCACACAGTCGAGTTGAGTCCGACTCTTCGTGACCCCATGAACCACATCATGCCAGGCCCTCCTGTCTTCTGTTGTGCTCTGGAGTTTGCTTAATTTAATGTTCATTGCATTGAGAACACTATCCAACCATCTCCTCTTTTGCCGTCCCGTTCTTCTTTTACCTTCAGTCTTTCCCAGCATCAAAGTCTTCTCCAGTGAATGCCCCTTTCTCATCTGGTGGTCAAAGTATTTGAGCTTCAGGTTCACTATCTGGCTTTCTAGGGAACAGTTAGGGTTGATTTCTTTTAGGATTGACTGATTTGATCTCCTTGCAGTCCAAGGGACTCTCAAGAGTCTTCTCCAGCACCATAATTTGAAAGCATCTATTCTTCGGCACTCAGCCTTCCTTATGGTCCAACTCTCGCAGCCATACATTACTACTGGAAATACCATTGCTTTGACCATACAGACTGTTGTTGGTGGGGTGATGTCTCTACTTTTTATTATGCTGTCTAGGTTTGCCATAGCTTTCCTCCCAAAGAGCAGGCGTCTTTTAATTTCATGGCTGCAGTGATCTTGGATCCCAGGAATGTGAATTCTGTCACTGCTTCCATGACTTCCCCTTCTATTTGCCAAGGAGTGACGGGGCCGGATGCCATGATCTTAGTTTTTTTGATGTTGAGTTTCAAGTCAACTTTTGCGCTCTCCTCTTTCACCCTCAGCAAGAGCCTCTTTAATCCTCTTCACTTCCTGCCATTAGAGTGTTAACCCTACCATGTATTTTTGTACAGTTTATGCATTTTATTTTTTTTTGCAAACCTGGGGCATCCTCCAGGCTTGTATAATAATAGTCCCTATCAGTATATAACCCCACGGATTTTTAAATCCACAATCTGAAGCCATTGTTTAGAATTAGATATAATAAGATGGCCCCATGAGAAATGTGGGGGGGGGAGCTCTCATCCTCCACCAGGCTGCCTACTCGCCACCTCCAGCAAACCCATGCACAAGCCAGCCTGCTTTCAAAGAAGTGTTTATTAAACTTTACATACATATCCATATGCAAGTATTAGGGGTATCACACACTTAATTTCAAAGCTAGAATAATGACAATAAAAAAGAATGTCCAAAATTTCCTATATTTTATGGCCATTTAGGATATAATCATTTATCTTATGTAGACACAACACTTGTTTACAGAAAGATGTCCATAGGGCAGGGGCAGTATTTGTGATTCTGGGGTCCTGGGCAGAATTCAAGGATGGTGTGGATGGGTAACCATGCCCCATGCTGTGCAGCAGATTGTCCTCAGGGCAAACCAGAGCCCCTCCATCACCTGAGACTGAGGCAAAGATTAGTGGTAGAGCAGTCACCCTCCTAAGGAAGGAGATAGAGTCAGCCAACCAGCCTGCCCAGCCAATTGCATATGACTTGGCTGGGTCAGCTGCTCTCCTCCCAGTGCAGTGCTTGATCAAGCCATGGGGCCTGCTTGGGTAGTTGGCTCAGACAGTCCCACCCTACAGCTGATCGCTGGCTGGGTCAAACTGAGTAAAGTCCCCATGGCAGCAAGGGCTTTAGAGAAAGGGTAGGAACAGCTGGCTGCAGGGGGGTCAGTGGGGGCTAAGACCACTGCTGCTACATTGTCCATGTTGCATAAGCACAGATATGAGCTATATATGGAAGAACATTAAAGGGCATTACAGGAAACTGTAATTACAGTAATCTCCCATATCCAGAAGCAATCCTCCCTTCTTTGATAGGGAGCATGAAGTTTTCTAAATAAATGAAAATTGTAACCTTTTTCTTCTAATGCACTTTTTTCATTCAAGAAATGACATCACTGGTTATAGCAAACAAACTGTGTGAATGCAATCTCAAAACAATTTTTGTCCATGTGAATAGAAAAAGTTTAAATACATCAGAAATTATGTTTTAATTTATTCAATTTATACCCTGCTCTCCCCACTGAAGAAGGCTCAGGGTGGCTTACATAAAAGTCAGACATATAAAATAACCATTATAAAACAGTCATAAAATCCAAACAATCATAAAGTGCTAGTAACAACAAACTTCTGATAATAGTATTACATAGAGATGGCGGAGCTATCATGTTAGAATATTCAAATGGGATCCAGTCTGTGTTGATGAGCGGCTCATCTCGATCTATTTATGCATCGAACACAGGCTGCTGATGGTAGTCCAGGGGCATAGGGCCTTATCGCAGTTCAGTTGTTAAAATTAAAATCTGAATTAAAATTTGTTGTTCTCACCTGAGTGAGTTGCCAAGCACTTATTTCATCTCGAATTTGTTTTTTCACATTATCTTCTAAGTTCTATAAGTGAAAAAGAAATAAAACAATGATATAATATATATGAACAAATTAAAATACAACTATAATAGTACCACAAGTATAATAATTAATTTATAACTCAGTATATATCTATCATCTAATCTGTTGGTCAAAATTATGACTATGCAGTAGTAGATATGTTCTTGATAAAGTACACCTTTTTAAAAACATTGTTAGATTATGTTGTGATGGATACATGCTAATCTTTAGTTTTGACTGTTCTCATCTTCCTGTGAAGAGCACAATGACTTTTAAGTTTTATATTTTAATCCTTGAGGTCACCAAGAAGACTGTGAATTATCTGGTTAAGAGTCAAGGCTAGAAGTGTCTGGTTGTTATGGAATGCTACTGAAAAACTGAGATAAGCTTCCTAAAAGTGATGCTTTGAACAAAGGAGAGAAGGAATGGACAAGAAGAGGAAGAAGAAATGCTAAAATGCTGTATCAAGAGAGGCTAAAAGCTGTATATACATGCTCACATTTTTACGAATAAATAATTTCAACATGCAAATATCTTGGACCCAAACTTTATATGTCAGAACAACAGTTCTTCAAGGAACATTTCTCCATCTACCAGTGAGCTTGAAGCCAGAACAACCAAGTTGATTGTGTCTCTTTTTAAATGGGTTCCTACTTCTGGCAACTGTTGCTCCTTATAAGAGCAATACATGACAGTTATTCCAATATCAATATTTATGTGTATATATCTATTATATATCTAATTCTGAACTGGGCCATAGAATGTGGATAATAAAAATCCACAAAATGGAGCCAGGAACAGGTGGTGGTGGGGAGTTCTTTAGAAAATAGAGGTTTTTAGGTTTGCAAAAAATAATACTGTGGAATATTAAAAAAATTACATTGAGGGACAAAAATCCCTCAAATAATGGAAACAACGTCAGTAGCTTTAAGAACTGAATGTCCACTGAGCTCTCATAAAACTATGTTTTGAGGTCTTAGTGGCCATTTTGTGGGTTGCCAGGCAATCACAGAAGTATTACTGAGCCTTCCAAGCCTTTGTTTTGGTAAATCAAAGCTGGGAGAAGCAGGGGTGGACTAAGAGGCCAAAACAGCCCAGGCAAGTCCCTCACCCTTTTTCTTGTCCTATCCCCTGATGGAGGGAGAACTTGCTGGGGCTAGGGGAGACTCTGCACTTGTCTTTCCCGCCATTGTATCTCCAAACCCACATCAGAACACAAATTTCACTCTGCATTGCATGCCGCTCCTGGTCTCCTTGTGCTTCAGTCCACCTTTGAGCTTCCGCATCATTTTATTGCCATCTAGTGGTGATTCTGTGCTCATCATGGTGTCTCCCCGGGTTGTTTGGGTGTGGGTTTGTGCCAGACCATTTGTTCCTCCCCACCACCGATTCTCTGTGAACAATATGCAGACTATTTGACACGGATTCCTTTGATGTTCCCTCCTTCGTCCCTCCTGTTTTTTCTCACCACTCATGAATTTGCTTAGACATCCAACAGGTGGCAGTCCTCTGTCCTTTTGTTGACTCATATCATTTTTAAACAATAACTGTTGATTAGATGCAGAATGCAATCATATATCCTGAGCCAAAATGGAACCGCTTCCACAGCAGAGAGAGAGTAGATTATAAACCAGATGCAGAATCACCCTAGGACTGTCTGAGGGAAGTTTCAGGGAGAGGTTCCTGATCAATGCATACACTGAGCTGCATGAAAGCAAACTAAGCAGAAAGGTAAGAGTCTTTCCTTTGGACATGTGCAGTTCGAAGCTGCTTTCTAAAAAAGAGATGTTCATGTTAGGTTTAGCAGTTTCTGAATCTTAGCTCTGCTCAGACACAAAGCCCATCAATGTGCTGTACAGAGACTACAAAGAAATAAATTGCAGTGTTAAGAAAGTGTCTTTATTTTTTATATATAAGAGGGGGGAAAGCCATAGAGACTGGAAAATAAAGACTCTGATTTGAAAACTTGTGCTATGACATGATATCTCTCTCTATGATCTTGCAGAAAATTTAAGGCAATCTCTCATTCAAGAAAATAATAAAATCTGCTCCCGTCTCCATATCAAGTGATTGGAAATAACATTTTTTAAAAAGTTTCTTCATTCTGTGAATATAGAAAAAAATATCTCTGGCTTATGCTCAAGTCTTGGGCTGTTAGCTCTTGGATCCTCAATGTGAGCCAACAAAACTTCACAAGAAGTCACATGGAAACAGACAAAAAACATCCTATGTGGAAGGTGAAAGCAAACCAGATTTTTATTCACAAGCTGGATCAACTCAGCAGAGAGGAGCAGAACTGCAAGTAATACATTTTAGAAATAGCTTATAATTATCCTAAGAAGTTGTTCCAGAAATCTGTGTTGTAAATTCATACATTTTACTTCATAAAAACAGCCTGAATAGCCCAGCTTAGCCTGAGCTTGTCAGAGCTTGGGAGCTAAGCAGAGCCAGTATTTGAAGACCACCAAGGAAGACTGGGGTTTCTATGCAGAGGAAGGCAATGGCAAACTACCTCTTCTTGTCTTTTGACTGGAGCAACCTGTGGAAGAGGTCACCATGAGTCAGATACAACTGAATGGCACCTCTTCCTTCTTCTGCTTCATGAAACTTAACAAAAAACAGAAACTTGCATCTTTTATGATAAAACATTTTTCAGTTACATGAAGATATATGCAAATATCAATTAAATGAAAACTTTGGCCCTAGAATAATTGCAGTAACAGGTAGTTAGTCACACAGTAACAGGAGAGTATGCACATTCTTATTTGCAACAAAATTCACAAGATATTCATAGATTATATTTAAACCTGCATATCTGCATAGATTGGGCCATCTGTGTCACGCTGAACTGGACCACATGGGCTCTGATGGTTGTTAAACAGATTAGGAAACTGTGTGATAGTTGGAAACAGCTTAGAATAGGGCTTCCAAAGAACATGAAAAAATGACCTGGCTCGGCCTGTTCTCGTGCTGCAGAAATCAATAGGTAAAGCTTTTCAAAATATGAAAATAAATATACTTACCTGCTAAAATCTGGACATCAATAGGCTGTTAGAAACTCATCTATGATGGCTGGTTGAAACGTTAGCAAATCTGGCTCACAGTTACTTTTTCAGTGCATACCAGTATCTGTGAACCATCTAGGCCTAAGTAGCTTTAATTTTCAAATACATCAGAATCATGTTAAATGGGTTTATAGATGCACACATCACCGCATTATACCAGCAACATTTTACTCTGTCCAGTCTTTCAACTCTTAAAATATAATTAAAATATCATAATAATGGAATGACATATAACAACCTTAAACCGCATTTTCCCTTTATTGATGTTTTGCTCCAATTCCTCCAATTTCATTTTGGCTTCACTGTAAGTCAATTCAGAAGCATAAAGTTCTTTAACAATTTTTTTTAAATGCTCTTCCAGTCTATGAATATTTTTCAGCAAAATCCGAATTTCGGCCTGAAGGTCTATTTTCTTTCTTGAGCTGTTAAAATAGATTTTAAAAAATCTTACAACGCTGGTACATTTATCAAGAGTTCTTTGGTATTACTACAAACAAACAGAACAGAACATAAACTTTTAATTTTGCTTGACTTTCTATATTAAAGGACTGTGTGCTGACAGCATATTGCATAGGCAGTACATAGTATATTGCATTATTATATCAGTGCTCTGCATTTGCAACTGCACAATTTGAATCAGAGATTTTCTACTAGTGCAACACTAAAGAACAGAATGAACACATTTCAGCTGCTTATATTGTTCCACATACCACTAGAAATGATTGCAATTTTTAACTTTAAATGAATTTTTGAAAAAATACATTCCACCACCTCAGCTGTGGCTGGCTCCTCTTTCAGCTCGATTAAACCAAGCTGCAAGAGGACCCAGCCACAGCCAAGGCAGCACAGAGCTTTCAGTTCCCGCTGCCCTGGCTCACACTCTTTTGCAGCTTGGTTTAAACCGAGCTGCATAAGGAGCCAGCCCAGCATTGGCTGAGGTGGTGGGAGCTAAGAGACAGAGAGAGAGACCTCCCCACTGCACTCAGATCCTGGGGCCAGCTTCTTCCGTAGCATGGTTTAAACCATGCTGCAGGAGAAACCAAGCCAGCCCCATGGGTGGGTTGGGTTTTTTTTGGGTTTTTTTAACGGCCCTTTTCTTTTTGGGTCTATTGGACCTGGGAAAAAAATTGGGATTTCCAAGAAATACCGTACTGGTATCAGGATCCGGGATTTTTTGGAAATACTGAATTTTGGGGGGGTCCAATAGACCCAAAAAGGGAAATGTCAGGGGTTTTTTTGCGTACCCCTATTGTGCATACAGAAGTTATTGTGGTGGTGGAAAGACCTGTCAAGTCACAGCTTCTGCATAGCTGCCCTGGACTTCCCTGGTGGTCTCGCATCCAAGCACTAGCCAGGGCTGAACCCGTTTAGTTTCTGAGATCTGACAAGATCAGTCTAGCCAAGTTAGGGCAAAAGTTACTATACTTCATCACAAATCATATCAAATAGCGTTCGAGGTGTTCATCTTTATTTTTTCAGCTATCCTCCGTGTAAGTAAATGTTCAAGTGAAAAAGTTCTGTGATCACAATTGGGCATCCACACATTCTGAACTGAATCATGTACATCAAATACTATCTGTGGGGACTGTTACTTCCTGACGAGCAGCACATCATTTATTTATGTTTCGTATCTCCACATAATACTGTAAAACATAGAAGCTAGTGTTCTGCATGTCAAAATTACAGTATGGCTTTACATTTATTATAGTGCTAATGTTATCTTTACTTGATGTAAGTTTTGAGTCACTGTTTAGGAACTTATGTTTTCTATCAAGTTCCCTTTTGGGTTTCCAATAATTCTGAAATTTTACTCTCCCTTGTTTTACTGTTCACACTCTAAATAGAAAACTTATCTACAAAGCAGTTGCTTCTCATACAAAGTTCAGCCCTTTCTGTATGCACAGCTTACTGCAGTTTACTGCAGAGAATCTGAGCAGTCAAGCCTTAAAGCTTGATTTCGAATTTCTGTGCCTGCCATCGGCATATTGTTCTTTTCCTCTGCTGTATTATTTTTTCTCTGGTGGATTCATTCTGCAGCTACTAAGAAAAAACACAGTTTTTCTTAATTGTGGACTTCAGTTGTGATGTCTTGGGGGTCGCCTCCAAAGTTATTTTAATTTATGCAGTTGCCCAATCACAGCTGCACAGTAGCGTCAAGTCAGTGACATCCATTTAAATCCTTGTGATTCAGTTCCTTGAATTAAAGGGAAGCTAAAGGCTGCCAGAGTTTCATAAACTGCAGGGGTATTATTTCCTGCCAATAAGAGACATTTTACCATACTATCTTCTTCTGTGGTCCAACAGGGGCAATGCAAAGGAAGAAGTTGTACTTTTCTTTCCTCACTTTCCTCCCATGTAAAGGGAATGGGTGGGGAGTTTCAGCACAAAGCAGCACCATCATTCAGGGAGGGGAATCAGTCTGTCCTTACCACCCGGCCACACTTTCAGTTCACCAAAAGGGATACTCTAAGGTGGATTTGGTGTGTGTCTCCCCCCCCCCTCCCCACCGCCGCCATGTTCTCCAGGGAACCTGGGAATTGTATTTTTCTCAATTATTTTGTTAAGCACGGACTTAACACTGGGAATGGTATTTTTCTCACTCCTTGCATGCTTTGGAGGAACAAGGACAGGGTTAAGCAATCAGCCTTGGTTTCATGTGCAGCAGCAGCCTTGTTAGCACCATAGGCAGTGCATCAGTCTCATAATCTGAAGATGGTGAATTTGAGCCTCATACAGGGCAGCAGAATCTTTCCCTCTCTCCATAAAAACAATTAAGACTGCCCTGTCCTCTGTGGTGTTTGAAGAGATTGAACTTTATGTAAAAGAATCTGCATTTTTCAGGCTTTTGCAAAGCTTGGTACATTGCAGCACACTTGACCATAACATAAATTCTTCCCCCCTTTATTTTGTTTCCATGTAGCACTGAAATCCTTGTTTGGTTTTTGCACTGTGGACCCTGCAGTTTGCCTCCTCTCCAATCCTCCTTTAAACCTGCAGGGAACTAAACCTCTGCAGCTCCATTATTTATTTTTTATCCAGGGATGAGCTTAATGATAGGAGTTTATCAGTAAACGAGGATCCTGGTGAAAAATGTTACTGAACTGTGAAGTGTGTGTGCTTGGCTGGGGTTATGCTGGACAATCCAGCATAGAGCTGATCCTGCGGAGAGAACTACTATTGTTAAACTCATCCCACGTTAAAAAACCCAAATTTTTACAAGTAAGCACTAATGAATGGGCGAAATATGGCAGAAGGTGCAGAGTGAGAGGAAAGACCTCGATATGAGCAGGGGAGGGGCCTCCAAGTGGTGGGGAAAGGAAAATGGAAGAAATCCAAGGGAATCTGTCTGCTTTTGAATTTTACCTATGGCTCTAAAGCGAGGTGAGGGGAAAGACTGCATCAAAAGCATTCTGAGATACCCTGTGGAAACTGTGAGTGGAAAGTGAACTGAGCACTGGAGTGGAGGAAGTGCAGAAGAAAAAGAAAGCCCAACGGACATGCACAGTAGCAGCGGGGGGAAATGCAGAACAACAACCCTCCTGACAGTGATGCATGGTGAAAATAAAGGAAAACACCAGTGCATGTGCAGGATTCAGTATACATTGACATTTAGCACACTGCTGTGAGTGAACGTCATTCTCAGGTATGTGCTAGAAATTAATCTGTGTTGAGTACTGTGCATGCCAGAAGACTACCAATGATTATCACTACTAGTGAGCTGAAGTATATGCAAGCAGTAGCTTCTATACTATTGGCATTATGGAGAACTAAACTATTTTTCGGTAAGGAAGAAAAGGAAAAGTTACAGTTGATCAGAATTCCCACTGACTCTAAGGGGGATACTTCCAGTTTAAACCCAAGTACTGTGGCAAAACCAATCCATGACTAAATAAGCACTTGAAGGAATAGAGATGGGGGGGAAGCAAACAGTTAAGTTTGAGAGTGGTCCAGAATGTGTCCTCCACTTTGGGATTCAGGTTAGCAAAGGTGAGTAAAAAAATCCTCTTATGCTACTGATGTTTAGTTGATAGAAATTTCGAGTCATTGTTTAGGAATGTACATTTTCTGACATGTTCTCCTTTAGGTAATTGTTTTTTGGGAGCAATTTGAAACTGGTCTGTTTAGACTTCCGGTTTTGGCAACTCGCTGATGGGGATGCTCCATCGCACTCCAATGAGAGCGACCCATTACCACAGCGGATGGGAAGGGTCCTGAATTATTCCAGGGGCCCCAGAGTCCTTGGAGGGAGCTTGTAGCCTGGGGCACGAGGGGTGCCTCTTCCAAGGCGATGGCCAAGGAATTGAGGCTCCTCTCTGCCCCAACAGGTCCCACCACCATGGAACCAGCAATGGAGAAAGAGGTGCATGCCAGACCGAGCGAGCAAGTGATCTAGCATATGGAGGCTTTCTCTACCTCTGGAAGCAAAGTGCAGAATGAAGCGTGAGTTCGCATCTCCTTAAAACTAGCCAAGCACCCAAATGGACAACCACCCCCAAACCCCAAGCTGAGCTAGCAGTGAGGGAGGAGTTAACCCCCACCCTGAGAAAAGTTACTGTGAGAACAAATGCGAGGGGCAGAATAACGTTTTTTGATTGAAAAGTGAAAATCCAGCTGAGTAGTGTGCGAAATAGCAGAAAGTGTCTGAACTAAAAGACTTTCAGAGACTTAAAAACTTTTCTTTTTGTGTAAACAATGTTGCAACGGGCTGATAAAATGGTGGATAGGAGGAGACCTTCTCCAAGAACTGCCACCTCAGTGATATCAACTCTCAGACCGGAAGTAACTACTGACTTCCACAATATGTTAGCTACAGCATTGCACCCTCTGCTGGACCAGATGATTAATGAGCCAGTTTGGTGTAGTGGTCAAGTGTGCGGACTCTAATCTGGGAGAACCGGGTTTGATTCCCCACTCCTCCACTTGCACCTGCTGATGTGACCTTGGGTCAGTCACAAGCTCTGGCACAGCTGTTCCTGAAAGAGCAGTTTGTGTCAGAGTTCTCTCAGCCCCACCCACCTCACAGGGTGTCTGTTGTAGGGAGGGGAAGGGAAAGGAGTGTGTAAGCCGCTCTGAGACTCCAAGTGAAGGGCGAGGTATAAATCCAATCTCTTCTTCTTCTTCTTCTTCTTCAATAACAATTATTTTTGTTGTAAGCCCCCGGAGGGGATTTTTTATTTTTTTATAATACTACACAAACTACAGAAAAGAAGGGGGGGGGAACTACACTAGGGAGAAAGGAAAGTAACCCACACTATACTAAAAACCCAAGAGTAGGAGATCATTACCCTGTTAAACTACAGTAATAAAAAAGCTGTTAGTAGACAATATACTTTGTGAGATCCTGTCTTTCTAAGCTTATATGTTAGTTTATTACTTGTTATGAGAAGATCCCCAGAGCATCTCGTTAAGGAACAGATGATAA